ATCTTGATTTCTTGGCTTCGTTTGAGTGAGAATGGAAATAAAAAACTAATTGTTTTTCAAATCACTGGCGCAATCAAAGGTAGGATAAAGCTCTTGCAAATTAAGAAATGATGCTAATTGCCTATAATGTTATTCTTTTTATCCGAAAACCAACTACAGGAAGACCATGCAAATGTTCTATCTCAAATTCTAATGCTTAGCACTAAAGCATTCGTCCGCTCACTCACCACGAGACCCACCAGATTGTCGACGATCAATCGGGTTTGAATCCGATCTGGACACCGAATCTGTTCCACTCCGCCGTTGTCGTTGTTCAGAAGTATCTAAAAGATAGCATTTTTTGTTTGTTTACAATTCTAGAAGAAAATACCAAGAAAGTGCGAAGAAGCAACAAGTGCAATGACATCAGTCTAAAACTTTTCGCAAAAATCCAGGAAAGAGGAGAAGTTTAAAGCAAAAATCCAAAACACGATCACCACGAACCATCGATGGGCGTACCGTATCGATCTTTGTTTAACGATGATGACATTCTCAGCAGTTTGTGACGATCAAAGCGTTTTCTTGTGGATTGCGATTCATCACGCAAATTGTAAGTGATAATCAGATTTTTACAAAAATTTTCCGCAAATTCTGGATACATATCCAAAACGTCAAGCAGATCGTCTCTAAAATTAGGGACAATCTTGATAATTGAGCTAAATTCAAATAAAATTCATCCACTGACCTAAGAATTTTGTGCAGGTCACAATAGGTTAGCGCTCTGACATTACATGATGACTTGCCGACTTCTTCATACAGTAATGGATTCTCACCAAATATGTCATCTTTCCCTATAGACGCAATCGATAATTCTTGAAAACTTTTGTCAAAAGAATAAGAACCCACCGAGTATGCCCATCACAGTGTTGTCATCATTTAGGATCTCAACGCTACCTCGTGCTATGAAATGCAAGCCAGTAAGGATGTCACCACGATGTACTAATGTGTCACCAGGTGGAGCATGAGTGGTGCGAAATCTGTAACAAGAAGCATTCTTCAAGAAAAGGTGATAAGTCAGAAACTAGCCTTTTTAAGGAGAACATCTAAA